AGTATTTTATTTATTTTTATTTATGTATTTTTACCCTCTTCCCTCTTCATGTATTTCAGCTGAAATGTTTTTTTCTAACAAATTCTGACAACATATTTTATTTATTTATTTTTACCCTTTTCATATGTATAAATAATTTAATAGTGTATATTATTATTGTTATTATTAACTAGGGGATTTAATTATTAATCATAAAAAGCCACAATAGTAGTTCTCAACAAAATATATTTATTAATTGTCTTTTCCATATTTAAATTATATTCCACATTTTTAGTATCGCTGATTGGTTGATATATTAATATGGCCGGATTGTTCCATCATCCTCATTGATTAATCACCTTCTTGCGCAAAAGCGCATCTCTTTTCTTTATTACACTATGATCTTTTAGAAGCCTGATTATAAAAGCTTATTTATAATTAAAAGGAACAATAAAAAAACGATTTTTTGTCTATTAATAGAAACATAAAAAACAATGAATCTTATTGATTTTAAAATGCTGAATATGATGTTATTAGTTTTTATTGAAAATATGAAGAACATCATTATCGTCATTTTTTAGAAAGTCTTATTTCTCACTCTTTCTTATTTCATGATGTACGATATTTAATACGAGTGAAGTATTTTATGTAAAACTTAATATGCAAAGATTCCTAATATTGTTAAACTAAAATCTGATAAATAAAATGAATTCTAAATGAAGGAATCAAAATAGTCATTTGGTTATTTTTTTACTGTCACTAACTTTCTATAAACCGCTTTCAGTTGAGACAACAAGTGGATATAGCAGTTTTCTGTCTCTATTTATTTATTTTGTATTTTTTATATTTTATATATTTTTGTGTTTTTTATATGTTTTGTATATTTTTTTGTATCTAAAATATATTTATTTTGTAATTTTTCCTAGTTTTTCGTTTTTTTAAAAGCTTAATTAGCCTATTTTTTTCTCCTCTCACCTTATTTGTAACATATTTCACGGCATTATTCCCATAATCATACGAAACGATCCCATTTAGTTATGAATTTTAAAAATAATTTTTAATTTATAATTAGTGACAGTACAGAAAATAGCCAAATGGTCAAATGACGTTCGCCATTTTTTGGGATCCTCATTTTGCGAATTTTATTTTATTTATTAAATTTCCTTCTAACAATATTAGCAACTTACGCATACTATGTAAGTTTCATATGGAATATTTATGTTATCTACTCGTATTGAAAATCATACCTATATCACGGAAAGAATGAAAAACAGACATTTAACCTGAAAAACGATGTTCCCTACGTTTTCAATAAAAACTAATAACATCATCGTTTAACAAATTTTTATTATATCGATTGATTATAGTTTGCTCACTGAATATAGTTCTGTGAGAATCGAAATGTTTGAGATTTTATAAATATGATATTGTAATTTAATATATATATATATTATATATATATATAAATCGAATTTTATACACTAACAGCGTGCTTGGCTTATTGCCCTTTTTTGATACTCATTTGAAAATTTTAATTCGTAAAGCTTTTAGGTACTTTGTATAATTTTCCATTAATGTTACTTCCGTAATGTCAAAGTCAAAAATATGAATTAAAGTTTGTTTTTATATAATTTTGAGCTGCATAATTTGCCATGTTACTTTATAATTTCAATTAAATTTCACGAAGCCTGATAATCGCTTATTTAAATTTCGTTGGATTGCAATGGGTCAGTAGGATTAGTTTCGGCGAAAGTTGCATATATAACGCGGATGGTGAACGGTATGCGCTGCATTTCTGAATATATTCCTGCTTTCCATTTTTGTTATTGTTATCTTTTCTGTCTGTGACAAAATGAGTCATCAAAGAAGAGTATTAAAAAATTATCAGGTAGGTAATAGCCATATAAGTAGTTTGCTATTTTTGGATGAATAAAGTTTGATTTTTTTCAAGCTTTTTCAAACAGACATTATGAGACCATGTCCTCAATTTCGTCAATTTGCCACTTTCTTCGAATTAGAATTTTATTGCGTTTATTAAAAGGATATGTCACGATAGAGAAGTACGTCTAATCTTGATTAGATTAATCTTTGTTTATTATTTTTCCTCCGATTGGTAACTTCAATTTTTGAGATAGTAATGTTAAATTAGCAACTTTTTTCCTTCGAATGTTTTTCTTTCGGATAATATCGTTCTCAAATTTTCGACGCTGAAATTACGAGTCGGCGCAGTTAATCGAGGTGCGAGCAGGCTGGCCAAGTGGAATACGCGGCTGACCGTTATTTGACCCACCGTGAGGCCCAACGAAAGAAGACTCACTTAAGTTCGTCGCGTACTTGTGTAAACGCAAGTATGCAATGAGTTTAAGTGTAAGTATAATGTATAAGCAAGTCTAAATTTATAAAACATCCAGCAACAATTACACAAAATAATATAATTTTAAACTATATATATATATATATAATTCTATCTTACATCTATATTATATACGTTCGCACATTTATATTCCACACGCCTACTCGTATGTACATGTCAATATCACGTCTATGTATCTATACTCATATACATCTATCTGTATGATTTCATCTGTTGTACCATATGGTACGTATTGATCCGATGTGTTGCGATAGGATGATTTTGACTGAAATTTTATAAATCGTGACAAGAAAGCAGAATTATCACAACATATCATTAATTTAAATCTTATCTTATTGCAAATTGAATAAAATTCCATCACACGCTAATCACGCTAATCACGTGATGATGAAGCTGGACCGCAAAGAAAATCTCTCGTCAATAATCCGTCGCTTTTCGTATAATCGCTACGATGAAGAGGATATATGCAATTGGCGATGTTTGATTTCTTTTCCATATAGTCGTAACTGTATGTCACACATATTCACGTTCTTATTTTATGTTAATGTGAGATATATAGTTCCGAATATGACCTAGATAGAAAGCTGTAGAAAATTTTTTGACCGCCTTTCTCTGAAAATATTCAAAATACCGGATGAATTTGTACATTTACAACAATCTAAGAAAAAAAAATTATTACGACAAGATAATTAATCGTATGATTATGAATTAAGAAAAGTTTTTAAAAAGATTAAGGATAACTGGATCTTGTTAAGAATTCAAGTCATGCTCGAATTAGGCATTTTACATACATAATATACACATACAAGCCTTTACTCTAAAAAATATCAATGTGGATTTAATACCATACGATGTGTATATAATTGTGTTGGTTATTAATATTAACACCACACACACACACACACACACACACACACACGCACACACACACACACATGCGTGATGTTCAAAATCCACCGAGATATTTTAGAGAAAATTAATATATGAAATATATATGTTATAAATATGTATTATAAATTTATGAATATATTGAAATTTGACAAAATAAAGAATTTTCTGAACAATTAGAAAAGTTAATCGTAATTATGACGTACGCATATCATGAGAAGATTTCACCTTAACTAAAAAGCAATTTCTTTGTCTCAAAAAGGAAATTATTCGAACTTCCAAGCGGACTTCCTCTGTCTGCTTCCGGCGATTCGAGTGCATTACTTCCTGAAGACAGACAGAAGCTGATGGATTAGCAAATACACATTAAGATGCGCAAATACTTCCGGCATCTTTTCTTGCTAATGATCATGAATACACGATCTTCCTCTTTGGTCAATATTACGACTAACGAAAGTTACTGTTGCACACTGCACAGTCGCGCATAACAGCCACATACCCAGATAGCACAAGATGTCCTCAGGATCATTCTGAATATGTCCCAGGATGTCCTCTGAGACATTTTATATTCATATATCCACGGGACGTCCTGAGGACGTCATCTTTAGGACACTTTTGTGGAGTCTCAGGACAGCCTCAGAACGTCCTAGGAACATTCTTGTAAGAGTTTTAAAATTTTTTATTTAGAAATAAAAACTTATAATTATTTAGATTCATTTAAGAAAGAAATATATTTTAATTATATGTGAACCATCTTTTTGACAATATCTATTCATAGTATAAATGTGTAATTGTGACATATATCAAATATGTCACAATTAAACATTTATATAGGATAAAGTTTATCAAACGTGGATCATTAAAATAGTTCTTATATGATTGTAGAAATCAAGCGACACAAACCAGAGTGCACTTCAGGATGAGCTTGTTTAAACACCATAAAATTAATTTCAGAATTCGGAGAAAAACGTTTTTTTTTTCATAATTTTGCCGTGCACTTGGAATATGCTACTAATCAATGACTCATTTTATAATTATATATGAAAATTTATATTATATCCTGCAACGATATCCTCTTTACGATATGTGATCTTTTGAGGATGCGTTGAGATTCTCATTTACTGTATCAAAACATCGTCAGGACGTCCCAGAGCAAAAATAGGATATCCTCACTATTTGTCCTGGACATCCATGTGCTGTTTGGGTAATTTCTTTGAGCGGCGCCAACTATAGTATTTGATCAGATTTTCGCGAAGGAAGGCATATTGCTTAAATGGCCATGCACAGATAAATTTACAGCTCGTGAAACCACGTTGTGCCACATACATCGTCGAGAAGGCTTTGCTTCTCGATTGGAGGATGAAAGTTGGCGCAGAGAATATCAAAGGAATTCGTTATAGCAATGTGTCTAAGAATCGACAGCTGTGATATGCTTTTGAGGTTTTAATAATGTTGTTAGCAGATTGATGTAAATAGAATTACGAAATTAATTTAATTTTAAGATACATGGCCTCATAGTGAATACAATTTTTCGCAAAATTGAGAATAAAGAAGAAATAACTTGAAGAAATTTAACTTGTTAAACATAAAGAATTTATAATTGTTAAAATATGGTTATTTAGCGAAAGACAAATGAATGAAGGAAATAATTATAACTCGTATTAGTTAATAATTCGTAACAGTTAATGCGTATTAATGGATATCGTAGGATTCCAAGAAATTTTTTCAATGCATGTACGCAGTAATTACAATTCAGTCATTAAATTTTCTTAAAATTCGAACTCAAACTGCTTGATACTACTTGCTTAATTTGAAATGCCCTTCCAAAGAGAATGTTCACCTTTTTCACTTTCCAAATTGAAATATCTGCGCAATAAAATAAATTTCTAAATAATCCGTTTTTATTGAGTTGTAATTGATGTGCATATGATTGTGCATCGTACGTTTGCTCTTTAACGATTTCTTGTAATCACTATAATATTTGTTCCTGGGAGATGAAGATATTTCAAGTAGTGACACGAATGATCCACTTTCGTCATCAACTGGTTGACGATTGCGTGCTTGTGATACTCCATTTATAAAGTTCCAGTTTCTTCGACCGACCCAAGAAATTGGGGACGCGCTGGTTTTCTTCTCCCTTCTAGCAATCATTCGCTTTTTCACTTTCCGAATCATTGTGCTGCGGTAACGTTATTAGAGATCCACTTTCGTCAGTGATGGTCGTTATTGGCGCATAATTTCTGTCTTTATAGAGTCGTAATCTTCTGAAGGAAGTTTAGGAAGCGTTGCGGCCGGCTTTCAATAGTGTTGTAGTTGTTTTTTTTAGTTTTGTGAGATACTTTGGTGATGAACAATTTATTTTCATCACTGATAACAATACGAATTATAAGAGAATTTCTATGCAAAGAATATATCGCATATCAGTTCTTACGGAAAATGACCTTTGTATTTTATCAACGAAAGCGAATTATTTAAAATATGATTTTATTGAAAAAATGTTACTATTTTTTTCAGTCTTACATTTCTGAGATATTTAATCTAAAAGTATTAATCAGATATATAAAATGTAAAAATCTTTTTGCACGCGCAATATGGAATGTAGCTTTTCTGTTTGGGAAAATGCACGTGATATAAAACGTATCGCGTGTAGTGCCGGATTAAGAAACTTTGACCTGAAGCACTAAAAATTTTCGAGCCCTTTATGTCCTTGAAAAAAATACAAACTATCAAAAAATACACATTTACAAATTTATCTAATAAAATAAATATAAGATTTCTTTCATTTTTTTCGTTTTTCAGAAGTAGAAGCGTATTTATACTTCATGTTTTTTAAGAAATAACAAGAAAAAATAATGATTAATGTTAATTTCAATTAAAGTAAAAATCTTTTATATATAAAAAATCGTTTTCAAACCGAGCGAATTTGCATCGGCCTGGGTTAGATTAATAGTATTAGTATGCTTTACTATTGATTGATGTTATATGTTTAACCAATAGTACAGAATGTGATGTCATTAATCCAAACCAGGTCGATGCAAACTCGCTCGAGTTCAAAACGCTAATATAGCAAACCTTCTCTCTGTTAATAGTATACTATTATTTTCGTGTTGTTTCCGATTCTAATATAATGCACACGCTTAACTTGACACGATCGCGAATGATGACTATAGATCTTAGAGCATATAGACATAGGGGGAGCATTGTGGTTCAGAATTGTGTCCAAGATGTGTGTGAGAGAGAAAGATATATACATAGAACATCTCTGCGCGTACTTTAATACAAAAACTGTATACATATATTTCGATAGTAAGCTATATAGTGTCTGCCATGTTGGCACATGCGCACAGAGGACGAGATTCCATATATATCTTTCTCTCTCGCACGCATCTTTGGGCCACAGGAGGTGTAGACAATGCTCCTTCTATGTCTATATGCTCTTAACCATAGACGTAGGCCGCGGTCCGAGTCATGCTCACAATGCTCATGAGCATCATTTGTCTTTGTTTAACATTTTGCTGTTTAACAAATAACAAGGATGAAATGATCTTAAACGTTGTGTTGTAAGTGTGAATCGGATATATCGCTGTTATAGTATCGGTTATGATAAGTGACAACATGCACGGCGCACTCACGGGCTGGCCGCCTGCGCTGGCAATCAAAGAGTACGTGGGAGAACGCGAGGCGCGAGCCATAGGGCCCCAAGGCCTTCGCAACAACCTGGCCCTGAGGTATGCGCATCATGCGCGCTTCGTATATATTATAATTCATCACTGATATCACGACAGACTAAACATAAAAAAAATTATGCATCTATAGATTTCATTGATTTATTTAAAAAATCGATTATTTTATGTAGAGTTAATTGCGCATATACAAGACTCATGAACGTATACAAATTAAGGGTTAAGATGTGATTTGAATATCTTCGTCTTTCAAAATCACGTCTGGTTTTAAATCGTGTGTTGGATAAAATTTCCTTTTAACTTAAATCTTTTTGTTTCAAAATGTGTGCCACGATGTACTAAAAAATCTCCGCGGAAGAAATGTTATATAGAACTTGAAAAAAAGAGGAGGAACTTCAGTGTGGCGCTTTGAAGAAAGAATAGTAGAGATCGCGAAAACATTGAGAAATATTCCGCGCATAGAGACATTTACGATTCAATAATACATTGCATTTGCAATATCTTGGATCTGCTATCGACTGCTGTCGTGGTAATTTACATACACTTCTCGCTGAATTTTTAATTAGCGATGTACAATGTCACGTTTCTTGATAAAGAACTATCCGATATTTATTTTTTCCATATAAATTATAATTTAATACGGAAATATGGAAATATATTCATAATGATGGAAATTATCTCTATGCGAGATCCTTATGACTGTCTTAGGAGACAACGTTCCCCAACATAAATCTACAAAGACAAATAAAAGACAATTTCAAAAATTTCTACTTTAGGCACTATTCAAAATTACGACGAGAACAGTAGTAGGATAATAGTTTTGTTTTTGTTTCACCTTTTTATACTTTACAACATTTTTACATTTTTTATATATTTTTAATTTTTTAATTTTTATTTTATTCTTATATATATATCACGAGTATATTAATAGAATACATTTTATATTTTGTTTTATAATAATATTATATATTTTGTAATAATACACTTTGGAATAATACATGTTATAAGAATTTAAAATAATATATTTTTGAGACAATAAATTTGGGAAATATATTTTATAAAAAGATAAGAAAGTTAATTTAGAAATTACATTTTCTATCTTTAGCTTGCGAATATTTTCATGCAGAATTGAGAGAATAGTAATTAGTTAATAAGTTAAAAACTAAGTAAAAAGTTAAAACTTAAATAATAGTTAAAAGTTAAATAAAAAGTTTATAAAGTTTATATATATATAGCTTTTAACTTAATTTAATTACTT